AAAAGAGTATGGCGTAATAAACACTTGAAGAAAAGCACCAAGATCAGTGTTTACAAAGCCATAGTGTTGTCTACTCTCCTATATGGTTCCGAATCATGGGTCATCTACCGCCACCACCTACGTCTTCTAGAACGCTTCCATCAACGCTGCCTCCGCTCAATCTTAAACATCCACTGGCTGCGATGGGCAGGGCATGTCTCCAGGATGAAGGACCACCGCCTCCCTAAGATCTTGCTTTATGGTGAACTTACCACTGGCTGCCGCAAGAGAGGAGCCCCGAAGAAAAGATACAAGGACTCCCTGAAACAACATCTCAGCCTTGGCCATATTGATCAACACAACTGGTCTACTCTGGCCTCAAATCGGGAGGCCTGGAGACACACCATCTATAACGCAGCTGTCTCCTTCGAGAACACACGCAGGATCACTCTCAAGGAGAAAAGGCAACGCAGAAAGAACCGTGTATTGCAGAATACACCTCCTAAGGAGTCTTTCTGCTGTGCCTTTTGCAGTCGGATATGTCTGTCTCGTATTGGCCTCATAAGTCACCAACGTGCCTGTAACAAATGTGGATAGAGCCTTTCCAAATCTTCGTTTGTGAAGCCTAGCCATGACGATTTAGCAATCATGTCTTGCCAGACCTCATGAATACACTAGAAAGGTTCTGAAGCATTACAGTATATTTACACAAAACACTGACTAGATTTTTTTTTTTAAACAAACTGTTGAAATCTAGACTAAGAAGAAAGGTCCCAACCTGTTAAGGCTATTACTCTTTCTTTTACTGTACTTATACAAATGCTGCACTTTTCTGGACAAATTTCAGCTAAGAAATCACATCTTCCTACCTAAAATTTTTACTTAAGTGAGTTTCAAAATGCATAGCTTGTACCTAAACAGTTTTTTCTACACTATAGCTTTGTATTGATATACAGCTGCCAGTGGGTAAAGTGATCCCCAACCAATGCTCTCTCTTATATAACAAAAAAAACCTTCCTTGTACTGAAATACAGAATGATTGAAGGTCAGCAGGGGATATATAGAATATATCATGGAGTCTGTATCATGGACTGTTCTCCTTATCATGTGGTCATGAAGGTATAGCAGAGAATAAACAAACAAAAATAGGATTGCCTTAAAGACATCTGACATGCTTCTCACCCACACTATTCTCTTGCTGTTCAAAGGCAAATTAAGAATGTTTTTTCTCTTTTTTCCCCCCCTACTTTAGTGCAATGAGGCCAAGAGAAAAGTGTGGCTAGAACTCATAAGCATCAGTTTGAAAACAAGAACAAGTAGTAACTGTGCTTTAAAAGTGTTTTCTGCTGTGAGAGCCTTACTGATTTTTTTTCTGATGGGAAATTCTGAACTGAAGAAATTCTTAGACAAGGAAGAAAAGCTGCCTTCAGAAGAATACCTGAAGGTTCGGTGGTTGGTGTTAGTAAAAAATCAAACTGCTAAAGTAAACTAAATGAAAGTAAATCCACATTCTATAGAGTAACACCTCAATTTTACAAGCTAACATACAACTATTTCTGGTGTTGCTCAACTGTGAACAGGACTAAAGATTGCATTTCCAAGTTTTAAATTTAACACAAAGTATTATAGCAGTTTCCACTTCTGCATTAGATAAACTCTAGTGCTAAAATGGAATACTGGGATCTTAATGACTTTGTTTTAATAAGACCTAAACTTTTAATTAACCTGCATAGACAAATTACAGCCCATAGCTCTTCGGTAACTACTGCAGACAGCTGAGACTCAACACCAATGCCTCTTTGGGGAGAGGAATTAATGGCAGTTTTGGAATGAGTCTGCTTTTTTCCACAAAGAAAAAAACTCCATTAAACAATCACTGTGGCTAGAAGAAAGCTGAGTGCTAGTTTTATGGAGTAATCTTTAAATTACAACCAAATGAATTGAGTTATATGAACAGTTTCAACAGGTCAATTAAATTTAAAATTAAGTATTATTGAATCAGAAACAGATTCTGATATTTACAGGATGGAAGAAGAATACTCAGTGAGCTGACAGGCACTCATTGGCAGTATTCTTTCCTCCTTGGATGACAACAAATCCATGCCTGTGTGCTGAACTGGCAGAGCATTTTACTGCCAGAGAATTCAAGAGACCTCTTTAGTTAATTTGTTCTTTTTAAGCAATCTCAGCTTCATTCTGTTAGCAGGGAGAAACAGAGATTCCTGTTATTGTGGTTGCTCCTACCAAGCCTTGCAGTGCTTTTCATTAGAGTTTTAACCCCAGCACTCTGCCTGAACTCCAGCTTGAGTAATTTTGACTGTGTTCAAGAGCAAGACTGTCACACAAAACGGTCGCATGGTGCTGCTGCCTGTTCTTCAATTATTCCTACAACTCTGCTCCAGAAAGACAAAAAACCCAATGAAACAAACAAAAAATCAAACAAACAAAACCAACAAAAACCAACTAAATAAAAGGAAGATCAAAGTAAGAAAATAAAACAGGGATTTTCCAGCTTGCAGACCATTTTTGGCACTGGGCAGGATCTCATTATGGTTATAGTTACTTAAGAGGCCTACAAAATACTTACACAACATTTAGGGCCTAAGAGCATTTAGCTTGTTGCTTAATACAATCCCCTTCAAGCATTCTCTCCAAAACCACATAAAGCCATCATGCAATTTGAGTATGTGCATTAATACCTGGCCTCAAGGCATATTTAGGAATAATAGAGGAAATCCTTACCAATAGCAGTAGTAAGAAAAGAAACCACTTCCGATTCCTTGCCATCATTGTAGAAGGCTAAATGCCATATTCCTGAATCTAAATACTGGATAAATCCCGTCTCGTGGCTGGATAAGGGCACAAAAGCTCTGTGTTGCCGCTGAGGTCCTTCCAAGCTCCTCGCCTCCTGTGTCAGTAGACGTCTTCCATCAAGGAGCTCGACAAAGTCAAACTGAAACACAAGAAGGAGTGATGTTTCTGTGTGTATCAGGCTTCCTCAAGCTTGGTCTCTTATTCTGGGTCTACAGAAGCATCATAAACAGCATTTTCCCTAGTAACTCGAGTATGTTCCTGGACTATCCACAAGTAACCATTTTGGAAATAGCTAGTATATGAATGTATTTTTTCTGTAATTACATGAATCAAGAAATCATCTTTATTTAAAATGTGACGTAGGGTATATTGGCCCTACAGAGGTGTTCTCATTTTGTAGAAATACAGGTAGGGAAACATGAGACCATGCCTTAATTGCACTGTATGACACTAAGAAGCTTATTTGTTGTCTTCTTTGTGCCTTGCCTAATATAAAATAAGACAGAAAAATATACCTAGCCTAACCGGGTTGTTCGCCAGAATTCCTATGGGTCATAAAGGAAAAAATAAGAAGTATTTTAAAGTAAATTCTGGTAGAAGTTTTGCAGAAGTATTTTGCTTAGCCAACAAGGGTTTTTTTCTTATTGCAATAGCAAAAGTGGTTAAAAGATCAGGAAAAATGAAGATGTAAAAGAGACAAATGATGTAGAAAAGTCCCATTTAAGGAGTGGCTCCTGGCATTTTCCCCAAAAGGACACATTTCTTTTTTGTCAGGGTAACTTCAGCTGCACAGTTGCTTTGCTTTTGCTACTAGTATTAAAACTACCTTTAGTTCCCTATTTAAATAACTTCCCACTGATTTTCTGCAATATTTGCAGTTTGTCTGGTATTATATTAATGGGATGAGGCAGACAAGCCTAGCAGACATCACAAATGTTAAATGAATCTTATCTAATCTGACTTTTATCATGTGTTTAGATGATCAGGACACCTCGCAAGGAAAATCTAGTAGTTGAGGCAATACTCAGTTTTTCTATTCCCTGCCTTCACTTGGTTTTACCTCTCTCATCCAGATGGTCAACTAAGGTTGTAATTTTTGTCAGGAGGAAGGAAAACAGGCAGAAAGAAACAACACCACTTCTTTCTGAACCAGTAAATGTTGCTGCACTGAATGGCTGCTGAGTGTTGGCTGAGTGCGGCAACACTATTCAGGCTGCTTATCCCTTTTCGCTTTATTGTAGCAAAATTTGGGTGCTTGTTATATTATTAAGTCGTCTGGTATGGTCTTCAAAGTCAACCAAGATAAGGACTTGATGACATGTTGTTTCCTATGCAGGAAAAGTAAGAAGTTTAAAAAAGTTAAAGTTGTGAAGTTAAAAAGGTTAAGTTACTAAGTCAGAAAAAAAATGTTTTATTTCCAAAAACATTTTGAGAAATAAGCTATATATGACATAGCTCGCATATGAAATGGCAAATTTGTCCCTAGTCTATTCTACTTATGTATTTTTAAATATTCATTGTACAGGAAATTAGTTTTGAGCCTTGCTTTAATATTTTATTTTTTTTTTGCTATATTTCAGTACATCTCAAATTTGGTGCTGAAGTATCTTTTTGTGAATGTAAAAGCTGGCACACCTGCAAAGTCATTTCTTTTGAGTGTCTATCCAAGTCAGCTTTGCCAGAGACAGAGTTTCTGTTTTGTAAAAAATACAATGTAAATAAAAATTATAAAAATATACAATATAAAATCCAAAAATATAATGTAAGTATAAATTCTAAACACATGTACTTAAAAATGTACATTTGTGTTTTGGAAAAAGGGCCAACCATGTACTGGGGTGCATCAGGTAAAGCATCTCCAGCCGGTTGAGGGAGGGGATTGTCCTGCTCTGCTCTGCACTGAACATTGTGTGTAGTTTTGGGCACCACAATACAAGAAAGGCATTAAGCCATTAGAGAGCGTCCAAAGGAGGCCAACAAAGATGGTGAAGGGCCTTGAGGGGAAGCGGTATGAGGAGTGGCTGAGGTCACTTGGTCTGTTCAGCCTGGAGAAGAGGAGACTGAGAGGAGACCTCACGGTGGTCTTCAATATCATCACGAGGAGAACAGGAGGGGATAGTACAGATCTCTTCATTCCCATGGCCAATGCAGGACTCAATGAAATAGCATGAAGGTGACCCAGGGGAGGTTTAGATAAGATATCAGGAAAAGGTTTTCCACCCAGAGTGTGGTTTAGCACTGGAACAGGCTCTCCAGGGAAGTGGTCAGAGCACCAAGCCTGCCAGAGTTCAAGAAGCGTTTGGACAATGCTCTCAGGCACATGATGTGACTCTTGGAGCTGTCCCTGTGCAGGATCAGGTGCTGGACTTGATGATCCTGATGGGTCCCTTCCAACTCAGGATATTCTATGATTCTATGATCCTATGAAAATAATAGAATTATTTAAGAGGATAGTGGTGAGAGGTTGGTTTGAATTACACTTTGTGAGCCAGGTACTTGTAGCCACTCTGAGCATGAGCTATTGCCTCGTCAGATTTTAGTGGGAGCATGACTGACACAGCTGAGCAGGACAGTGACACAGGACATCATAGTGGTATTTGGGTGTTGGGAACATCTCAACGGAGCTGAGTTTGACTAAGGAACACATTGGCCAGGTGAACTGAAGAAGTTAAAACCAGTAAGAGAAAAACCTACTTATTGCCATTTTCATTTTGGAGCCTCATGGAACAGCTTGACCAGACTTTTAATAGGTAACGGCAGAAACCATAGGTAAAGTTCACCTCACCAAGTGCTGACATCTCCATGGCAGCCTGAATTAATTTTCTAGAACCACTGGATTGCAGGCAAAGAAAGAGACACTTTCAGGATGCAACCTGCCTCATCCTAAAGTGGACATCTAAGAAATGTCCTGTGAATTGTGCTTACAAGCATCCATTTTGTGCTAGATACTAGATGTTGATACTTAAAGCTTAGTGAAATGAAAACAATTTCAAGGTACTCGGGTACGGTGAGCTGCTGTTGTTCCAGACCAATCTGTGTTATGCTTACTTGGGCTTCCTGCCAAACACAAAAGTTTATTTTTATAAATATTTGCAAGATGCTGCTGCAGATGTTAGTGACTTTGCCAAGTTACTAGTTACTAGTTGTAAATATTAATTGAGCCACAAATGGATTGTGCTTTATTGCATTTTAATACATTCAAAGATTTTTAATAGGCAATTAGTTACTGCCAGCATGGAAATCACAGATAAAACACCATGTTAATCAATTCAAACTGTACAAATGAAAAAATGCTCTCCACAAGCTGTGATGGCCAATCCCTAAAATTTATGATTTATTAAAATTTGGCCTAGGCTAAAATGAGTTTTACAAAAGGATTTGATCTAGGAAGATTAAATCTAATACACCATAACAAAATTGTGTAACTTTTATTATGATTTGATGAGAAAAATGAGAAGAAATACCTTTAGTTAACAGTGAACTCTTTTGGGCTTCTGCATGATCTATTTATAAGACTAAAGAAAGTTGGACCTTGCTTTTTCTTCCTACTTATTAGTGATAATAGTTGTTGGCAACCTCAAAGAGAACACAATCACCACAGCCAGAGAAAGTTTCCCAAAGAGAATTTGGAATAGGTTTGTTATTTTAGCATGGATAAATATGACTTCAAACATTGTATTAGGTTTGCATGGCCAGATTTTGGTAGCAAGGGGGCTACAAGGGTGGCTTCTTTGAAAAGCTGCTAGAAGCTTCCCCTTTTCTCTCCAAGGCAGAGGCAATTCCACTTAGCTCCAAGACAGACCCGCCAATGGTTAAGTGTGAGCCCATGAGTGATGATAGCAATTGTCACCTCTGTGATAACATATCTAGGAAGGAAAAAAAAAATACTGCTGTAACCCCCATTTCCCCATTTCCCTATGCTGCTGGGTGGGAGGAGGTAATTGGGAATAAAGTCAAACGCGGGAAGAAGGGAGGGGTGGGGGGAAGGTGTTTTTAAGATCTTTTTTACTTCTCAATTATCCTACTCTGATTTTGATTCGTAATAAATTTAAATAAATTCCCCAAGTCAAGTCTGTTTTGCCTGTGATGGTAACTGGTGAGTGATGTCTCCCTCTCCTTATCTCAACTCATGAGCTTTTCATGGTATTTTTCTCTCCCCTGTCCAGTTGTGGAGGGGAGTGATAGAGTAGCTCTGGTGGGCACCTGACATTCATCCAGGGTCAAACAGCCACAAATATTTTATGAAATTCAGGAATATATTCCAAGGCTTTACAGCTTTAGGATCAATTCAAAGATCCTGAAACAGCATAAACTATGTTAAGGCTCATAAAACAGAAGAATTATCTAAATAGAAGAAATATCTTATTATGTAACACTGAAAAAACCCCCTGATAATCAGCTGGAGCTTTACTACTGCCATCAAACAGGCTTGGGAAAAAATAATTGACCCTTTATTAAATTCTTCTAGTGGAGACTGTACTACTCTGTACCGTACACTGCTCTAAGCACACATTTTGCAAAGTTTTGTTTATGAAATTCCTTGAAAAATTTTGAAATATATAACTCATTGGTTAGATTTATGAGGTGCAGCAGATACTCTGGATTATGCAAAAGAAAAGAAGAGCTTTGTGTAATATGTATTAAATATGAGAGACAAGTTTAATATTTCAACAGAGAATGCAGGTTACCTATTTAATGACTACTTTGATTAATAAACTGTGGTGAGATTAAACATCATATAAAAGTATATAGAAGGAAAACAATGCTTTAATTAACAGCAGGTTTATAAAATAATTAGTCTAGGAAAAATTACAATTAACAAACTAAATTAAATATTAACAAGTAATAAATCAATATTGATTCAATAATCTGGAGCTTCATAAAATTATTTCTTCAGAACAGGGTGTGTTTTGTGGTCTGTTTATATTAGTGTACCACGGTTTTTATTGTTTGAAGAAAAATGCCTGTCTGGTCATTTTTGGTCTAGATGATGAATTTTTCTATATACTTGGCAGCTCTCAATGAGTGGTTACACAAATAGGAGCAAGTGATTCTGAGCAAGTGTATTGCCTTTTCCAGCATGTAATATTGACAAACATGGGCCACATCTCACATTCAACACTTCATTTTTAGCTGAGGCTTCAACTGATACACAGCCAGGCTGATTTAAATGGAAAAGGTCCTGACACTGAGAAATCACTGAGAATGTCCCAGCAAAAATCATGTTGCAGAAAGACCAGCAGTGATGGTGAAGTTGGTGCAGGCTTGCTAATTTCTTAAAACATTTCTGTGGTTGGGTATAGTGAATCATAGAATATCCTGAGTTGGAAGGGACCCACAGTGATCATTGGGTCCAACTCCTGGCCCTGCACAGGGCAGCACCAAGAATACACCATGTGCCTGAGAACATTGGCCAAACACTTCTTGAACTCTGTCAGGTTTGGTGCAGTGATCACTTACCTGGAGAGCCTGTTCCAGTGCCCAACCACCCTCTGCATGAAGAACCTTTTCCCAAAATCCAGTCTAATCCCTCCTTGACACAGCTTCATGTGCCCTGCTATATGTGAAGATTTTAAGTTCAATAAACCTGAGGGTTAGGTGTTAAGTTTTACATTTGTTATTAGAACAACTGAAACTGTTCATGTAATAACTCCTGTTCCATAACAAAATTTAAGATTGATGATAATAAACAAACAAAATAACACAGACTTCTGATCTACAGTTAGTATTATGAGATTGTGACTTGAGTTTTTATTCAAATAACACAGCAGTTTTTAAGTTATAAATGTTTGAATCTCTCCGTGAAAAGAGACTGATTAAAAATGGGTAATAACAGCATTACTGTGGCACTGAATTTATGACGTGCTGATCCTACCGAAATATTTTAATTCTGCAGAAAAGTAGGCAGAGAAAGTGTAGATTTATGACACCTCTTTGACATAAATACGTTGGAGGTGTGCTAATGTGAAGAAAATACTGTATTACCCAAAGAGATTGTAATAAACATATTTGTTTGTTCAAAAAGAAAGTAAAGACAGGGTATTTCTATAAATCTCAAATATTTTTAGCTAATAGTGGAGGGCAAGGGTAAGATACATTAACATAAACCTGCTAATTCTTTGATAACTTGCTGATGCAAGTGGGAGAAAGATACTTTGCACTGCCAATGTATTATGCCTTAATGTATTAATCAATCTGGTTAAGAGCAGCTTAGAAACTGAAATGGAAAGTAGAGAAAATAATGTATAAAATCCTTACTTAAGGGAATAGTTCTTCATAGCTTTTCCCAGAAAGTGATTTCTTGATGCGGTTTTTTGTCAAGGTGTGTTAAGAAAACCATCTGCTTTCATTTCAGTCCCATAGAATAATAACTGTATCTTGATTTCTGCCTGAGTTGGTGGCTTTCTGTAAAGTTGATTTTCTTTGCTTATACACTAATTACTTGGCCTTGACCAATGTCAGTCTGAGCTGACAGTCAACACACATAATGTGAAGGGTAGGCTCCAGGAGTTTCAGCATCAAAGACAAAAGTGAACTTTGCTCCCCTGAGACTTACCAACCTTGCTGCTCTTACCATGAGAGGAGAAAGGCAGTGGCTGAAAGAGAGACAGATCTGAGACACATGAAACTGCTTATGAGGAAATTCTTTCAGATGCAGTTTGAGTGTGGCTGCCTTTGTGCAAAGCACCGGATGAAGAAGGTGGTATCCCATGCTACTTGGAGCAACCACCTGGTAACCCTCAGTGACTACCAGCACCAGAACACCCTTCTTCTCCTCTAGAAGCTTGCTGCCTTAGGCAACTGCCTGCTTTGCCTCTGCCTACAGCCCACCAGATTAATGCATTTAAATTGTGCCACTGTCACTTGATTCTCTTTCTCTGAATAAAGGATCTTTGACATCTTGCAAGCATGCAACGAATTCTTGAAAGAAACAGATGAAATAAAACCGTACACCATACAAATGTACAATTTCAGACAATTATTACTTAATTGAAATAAGATCCCGTTACCTGTGTGTGTGATGGTGGGAGTCCTTTTCTGCCATAGATGCCAACCAGAGCAGCCTTTCCTAAAGACACATTGAATTTCAGATGCACTGGGTGGTCGATGAACACCTGAGATCTCCAAAAAATACCAGGAGGGATCTTCTGTGTGGCTCGTCTGCCTACATCAATCTCTCCGGAGTCTATAAAACTGTCGTCTGGAAAGAAACTACTGGGCTTTCCTGCCAAAACACAGGAACAAAATTCTTGCATTAGTCTTATATCCTGAAAGTAATCCAATCATACTGGTATCTCTGACACCGATCTTGAGAAACAGTCTATTAGTGTCCTGAAATCTTCTGAGAACTTTGTCTAGCCAATCCATATGATTATGGGAGGAAAACTGGCAGGGTTATTTCTGGCTTCAGTAACTGTTTTGTTTGAAAACATGAACATGGGAAAAGCAACCTGGAGAAAAATGGCCTTTTGTTTAAATTGTAACATCAGAGAGTGTGCAATTACATTCCAAAGATAAGAATAAATCATCTGATATTATATCCTAAATAAATATAACTTCAGGAACAGAGAAGTCACCATTAAATTACAAAAAAGAAGTGCAGTAAGTGTGAGATAGACGTGTCACAGAGTGGAATGGTGGTGTGGAGAACAGCAGCATGAATGATGCCTGAGTGGGGAAAGGAAAATGTTTCTCTATTAAATTAATTCTTGACAGTGGTAACAGTATTTGAAGCTTGTTGAACAGTGCATAAAAAGGTAAATAAAAAAAAAGGACTGAGAAAAACAAAGGAAATTGTACCCTGCACTTGAGTAATGTCTGTTACATGAAAGGTTTTAATTGGGTTTCAATATAATCTGCAAAGTGCGCTATGATTATCAGTTTTCTTTCAGAAGACAAATGAAGGCATCTGTTTCTCAAACTGACCACCAGGTTGGAGAGCCTAGGTATTCAAATGGAATCAGTACGTGCTGTAATGTCCAAGGGAGTCAGCAGGGAGCTTGGCACACCTAAAAAACACACCTGAGAAATTCCAGGTTAGAAATTCATAGACTCACAGCTTTCCAAACAGGTGGCTGCTTTGAAAAATCTGGACCCAAAGGAAGACCAGGGAACACGGGGCAGAATGAAAAATCAAATGCCAGAATGATGCCTTTTTAGACTGTGCCATAGCCAGTGGCCACAGCTTTAGCTGCAGGGCATAAGGACAATGAAGAAGGCAACTGCTTAGCAAACAGCCTTTATTAAGGACACTTCTAGTTGAAAAGTATGCAGTAGCATCACCTGAAAGATTTCAGCTTTAGTAAGGAGAGCAATATGTCACCAAGAACTAATTATTAATTTTGGAATTTCAAATAAATTTGTTTTCTCATCTCCATGCCATTACAGCACACTACTCTGTGTTTCACAGATCAAACAAGTCTAACAAAATGAGAAAGAAACTTCCAGGTAGTTACAGTCTTTTGCAGGAAAATCAAATTGTGAATTTTTTTCTTCCAGAGTCTATATTTGAGAAATGGGAAACAAAAATATGTTTTCCCATCTATCATGAATTTACATGAAACAGTCTCAGAATTTACTTGCCATGTTGAAAAAGGTGATTGATAGAACATGTCATTTTAGTGTTTCGAATGACAATATTTCATTTAATGTTATACAATATTAATTGCAATACTTCATTAAAGTTCTCCACATACCATCTCAACATAAACTTTCCAGGAGAAACAGATGTAAATTGTTAGCTGTCTCTGAAAATCAATATAGAAGTTACATGCATATTAACTATTAAGGATGGAGTTGTTTTAATTTGTTTTGTTTACTTAATAAAACTTAGCAGAACTTGTGGTTCCAATAATACTAACCACTGATTTAAAGTCAGCAACTGCTTAAATACATTGCTGGAGCAGGACTTGATGGCATATTTCATTTCTCTGCTATCTTGTGGCAAAAGTTTTATGCATACCAGCACAAAAGGTGTATATGCAAAGGCTGTATACATGTGCACAGAAAAAAAAAAGCTACTGTTAATTTTACGAGATCCTCATTTATCTTTGCTCATCACTTTCCAATAAATATGGGGGGGAAATCTGTTGACCTTTTACTCTTTTTTAGTTGAAGTGTATGTTAATGGAGATAATCAGAAGCAGCTTAGGTAAATGGGCATTCCTTATGAATCATTCTGTGCTGATAGACTACGATTGCACAATGAAAATCAGCTTGATTCTGAAGGGAATTACCTTATGAATTGGATTGATAGTATTTATTTGGCATACTAAAAATTACTTTTCACACTGTCAGGATTAAAGGAAACAGTTCCCATGTCTTCATGCAAAGTTTCTTATCGCATTATTGTAAGAGGAAAAGGTAGAGGATTCTATTAAAGAAGAGCTAAAGACATCACATGTTTTGGCTGAAATGAAGTATATAGTTTTTCTGATTATTACTGACATGTTTTATAGACTCTCAGAAATTCAGATGAAAACTTGAAGTATTTTATATGCCCCCTGAATGTTCATTAATAAAGACTGTACATCAGAGTGAATAAGTGAAGGTGAGAATTTAATATGACAGATGTTGCTATGCAAGTGAGAGGCTGGACAAAATGAACACAGGATGTATTCTGTACAGAGAGCAGTGCTTGCTCATGTAAATAAAAATGCTTCTGTGATTGCAAAAGGCAGTCTTACAGAAATAATTTTTTGTACACACAGTTACAAAGTTTATGTCTCTTCTTGGTGGACAGTTGTATGTCTGAGAAGCTGATATCCTGTTGTATCATGTTGCCAGCAGTTGATGTCAAAAGAGTGGCTCTCTTCACCAGTCTGAACTCAGTCCCTGAAATCCATCCCTATTTCATCAGTTTTAGCCTACAGTAAGATCAGGCTCTGTGGACTGGATACTTCATAGAGTACAATAAAAAAGCCATTTTGGCTTCTAATCAGAAATCGGCTTTTAATCAGAATATCTGACTCTTTAAAATTAACTTCAGGTCTGAATTCTTAATTGAGCTGTCAATTACTTCGCTTTTTCCACACATTACCTTGAACTTTTTAGTTGCCGTAGCAACTGTTCCTAATTTCTTTGGATATCAAAATGAACTATTTCATTTCAGACCTTGCTGAATCTGTATTTTTGACAGGAAGGTACCCTGACCCATCAAAACACTTAAGAACACACATTTCTCTGACTTCAATCACAGTTAGTTACATGCTTAAATGTAAGCATGTGGTTAAGTGCTTTGGTAAACAGGGCTGAGCTTAAACACAGGTAAATGCTGTGCTAGAGCACAGACACAGATGAGAAAGAATGACTGTGACTGAGAATTGGCAAGACATTGGTAATGATTCATTCAGATCAGCTCTAAGGATGCTCTAACACATTGCAGCCTATTTCATTCCAATCCAGAAGACTTTCAAATACATTTCAATTATTTTTAAAATAAATTTCAATCACATACATTATGGTTTAGAATAGAAGCCATGCAACACTGCTAGTCCAGAATTAGATACATAGCCACCTAATGAGGAGAGAGCTGCATTTTAAGGCTGGACAGCGTCACTGCTGCAACAAAGATGTTGTCCTGATGTGTCTTCTAGTCAACACAAGATATTTTCCTCAAGCCTACAGATTTCCTAATATCTATATGAAGTACTAATTTGAGGACTTTTCTATTGACGTAACTAGGCTATTTCCCAGTATTCTCTTTTAACAGAGCAGCAACCAAAACTTCTACTCATGTTACTGCAAACATGCCTGAAAATAAAATCAAGTGGAGGTCTTTCACTTGGATGGCACTTTTGGATACATCCATTTATTTTCGTTTTGACTTTTAAAAGGAAATGGACAGATCAAAGCTAGATGATTCAAAAATGAAACATATGGCAAGTTAGAGGGGAAAAAAAAAGATCTGTCATGAAGTATTTTTGAATATAACAGCAGGGCTGTCTGCAGCTTGCTGCACTGTCTAGTAAGGTTTGCTGAGAATAACCTGCTTAGCTGATTTTTCCTTGTAGCAACTTGATGGCAGCCATCAGTTACCAGTAAATACACTGTTTTAAGGAATACACATAATTATGGCCTTTATTTGAACTAATAAATACAGATAAGCACTTACAGAAAAAAATACTACAATTAATTCAAATTTTAGATGTAAACACAGGCTCTCAGCCAAAGCCTAGGGAACGCTCTGGAAACTTCTGAGTTGCCAGAACAGTAGCATACGTCTCATGTGTCCTCAAAACTTCTTCCACCAAAATAACTAAAAAAAACAGCCAATGACTTCACTTTTACTGAACTCTATTAACTTTGAACAGAGAAGCTTGATACACAAACAAAAAGGCTTTCAGAAAATTAGAATTTCTCATTTCTCTGGCTAAATCTAGGGAGGGATAAAACTTTGCAGAGCTTACAGGTACTTTTGGCACTGCTGCCTCTAAAAAAAGCACACTAAGATGTAAAGCTGCTGGATGAGGTGCTGCTAAATTTAGGACCCACCAGCTGCTGCTAATTTATGTCAACATCGTAATTCGTTGTGGAAACTAGGCCTTTTATTCGGCTACTTTTGCAAAGAGATGTCCACCTCTGGAGTGCCAAAACTCACAGTGTAGAAGTTCTCAATAAATATTTTGGTCCTCAAAACATTTGCTACTCAGTGGGAGCAAATAGGCAAACTGAAATGTTTTTGTACTGCTGCAAAGAAAGCTTAATCCACTACTCCAGGAATCATTTAATTTTCAAGAGACAGTGTTTTCCCATGAAAACAGTCCCTCGAGGCAGGGTTTTCATGATGGCCTTCTGTATCCTGTGAGATAAGGTACAGATGGCTTCACCTTGAGAATGCCTTGAATGTGTGGGGAGGGTTTCACACAGTTTTATTGCATTAGTGGACATCAGAAGGGTACAAAACTTAGAAACATGTGGAAACAAGACCAACGATTACTAGTTCTAGACATGTAAGACTGGAAAAGCACCTGCTGATGGCAGCATTGAGGGTAATGGAACATGAGATTGGATGGCTGGAGTTTAGAGGCAGACAGAAGACTCACAACATGAACACACACCAACCATACCTTCACTGGTTCCTTTGCCTTTCCTGTCAGGTAACTCTAACCCTGTGCCCCCCGAAGGATATAAGGAGACGTCCGTTGGCACTGGCCAACTGCTGGCTGTGTCTTCCGTGATTTCATACATCTGCCCTTCCATCGGCTGCAGGTGCCAGTTTAGGCCAAACAGGTGCATGGCTGTGGTGAGCAATGAGAAAAGTCATCTTTTTCTGTTTGGGAGAGTTTCAGAACTACAGGGGCACATTCTAAATTCTCACTCCACTGTCTTATTAGTGGTCATTGCTTTAGGACAAGAATGGGATTAATGTAATTGGACAGCCCCTGCTGCTTCTACCATACAAGCTCCCTAGGTCTTTCCACCCACTTAAACTCATTCTAGATCACCTGTAGCAATCCACCCTGGTTCTTCCAGCATATCCACTCCTGACTCATGGTCTGCATGAGAGCATAACCAGGCACAGTGTTTCAGAAAGCTCCCAAGGCTGGAGTGGCAATGTGGTAAACAGAGAAACACAAAGAGTATTATTTCTCAACATACCAATAAATACCAGGAAACTGCACTATGATTTGTTTTGCTATATTCACAGTGTATTATTTAGGTTCTTTTTTTTTTTTACCCAGCAATTAGACACAGAAGCTCTTACAGACATCTCTGACAGTTTTTCCTGTTAAGACCAAGTGAAAACTAAGGCAATTTAAGATCCATCTTGCACACATGCCTTTGTGCTCTACATCACAAATGCGAGTGACTATGTCTGAACATTCCTTGGTACAACTCAGCTTCCTCTATTCAGATCAAAGATCAATCCTTGAGATCTGAAAACAAGCATCAACATTTAGACTTGTGTGATATCAGGGCAAAGCTCTCTGTAGGCTTCTGGGCCATGCAAAGTCATCCAGTGCACACGTGAATCTATTTCAAGGCATTACATAAAGACAAGTGAAGTTAAGGAAGAAGACAGACTACTTAAAAAGCAAACACGTGTGTGAGGAGTATGGAAATCATATGCCTATACAACTAATATTTGCCCCTTGCAAATATAAAGCAAAGGATGTGGCTTCCCATATCAGTTCTTCCATCCCCAACATAAACATTTCACACTCAATCAGTATCCAGCTTAGCTTCAGGCTCTACACAGATAAATGATCCAATATTTGCTACATTTGGAATGACATTTCTTTTTTAAGGGAAAGCCTTGATATTTTACGCTACCTCTCTAAGAAACTTTACAATGACACTAACATCACAGGCATTTAACATAAACAAAACCAGTAAAGAAACAGAGCATTTCCATGGGTTATGGTTCTCTTTTAATTCATGAAAATATACCTGAGCTTGGCAACCACTGTTAGGGACAAGTGGTTAGTTTATTTAAATCTGTGCATCAGGACAATCTTTTCAAGAGGATTGAAAAGTAATCCAAGTAGTTCTTCCAAAACAGCGTGCTTAGGCAATTTAGCAAAATACGTGATTTTTTCCACTTCAGTCCCAATTAGGTCACCTATCATTTACTAACATAACTAAGGTTGTCTTTGCACAACTAAAACTCTCCTTTCACCATCTAAGTGGGGACGGGGTTTGATAACAGTCTTAACCATTAAGAAAGGAAATACTCTCCTAAAACTCCCAAACAGCAAGGAAAGTCTCCTGAGGACCTCTTCAAAACTCATTGTTATCAGGTATATATACTAAGAAGGAATGCTAGCAACACAACTGGTAATTCAACCAGGACACTTTAGACAGAGGCACGAGTACTTTCATCTGAAAGGAGTGTATTTACTTGGCAGAGAAACTGTGCAAGGGAAGAGAGGATATCAGACCAGGGGCAAGGAATTTGCATCAAGCATTTGGCATTGCTATGCTTGCATAATTTCTTCATCATCGGAGTGCCTGGGCACTTCATAGCTATTAACCTCATAAAACCTCATCAGGTAGGAATCTGCTTTTTTCGACTACACAGAAAGGAAAAGAAGAACTACAGCAGATTAAAGGACTAACTTAGTTAACTTGTTTAGGCATTAAAATAAAATTGTGTGTTAATTCACTTTATGCTCACAGGTTCAGAAGCTCCAGCAGGCATTTCATGCACCTCTTTGTCAGCAGTTTTTGTTCTAAGCTCAGTACTGGCTGCTGCCTGAGAACTCCATCCAGGCTGGACCTCTCCAAGGACCAGAGTGTAACCCAGGTGCTGCAGAGCTGTTAGAGAGCTCAAGGGCTTAGATGCTATAAGCATGCAAGTTCCCATGTTTAACCATATGGATGGTTGTAGTTCCAAACAGAACAAAAACTGTACTGTTCACTCCTCTAAACTCAGGCAATCCCAGATATCAAGCAGGCCAGATGCTTCTGCTGGCTCTAAGTGCTTAATCCAGCTCCATCTATCAGATGTCTTCATGTTACTGTGACCTGCATGAGCTTATACTGGGTATCACTGGTTCAGGCAGGAACTGAGCCAGATGTTTGCTTTTTTCACAACACCATTTGACTTGCCCTGTCCTTTGGACGTCACAGTCCAAGTGCCACACAGACTTTTAGGAACACATTGCAAGGCCACTGTTTCCCCAAAAGGACGTTGTTGCTTCTCCTCTCCTTAGGAGGAATTTGTTGTTGTAGATCATTATTTACTGCAAGCAAATGAAGGTGAAAAACTCAACATTGTTTTGGGTGCAGAGAAAAAACTATGAACATTTCTTTCAGGCATTAAAATGCATTTAAAATTCATGAGAGGAAATGTGTTAGAAGGGAACATCTTGCTTCAGTGTAACGACAGAACTGGTAGCCTGGAAGTGCTATAGCTTTTCTGCACGTTATCCATCCAATTGAGCAAGTGAATCAACCATTCCATGTCATCATTCAATCCTAAATGTTTGAAAAGTGTCTTACAGTGTCCCAATTTAGAAAATACGACAGATTTATCTGTAACACAGATACTGTATTGTCACACAGAGCCAAAAGGCACATATTAATGTTACCTTTTGTCTTAGAGTTTGTCTAAAGCAAAAGCTTCTTGCATACATTGATCCCATCATCATATAGATCACAGAATCAAAGAATCACAGAATGGTTTGGCTTGGAAGGGACCTAGATCTAGTTCCAACCCCCTCTGCCACAAGCAGGGACACCTTCCACTAGACCAGATTGCTCAAAGCCCCATCTAACCTGGCCTTTAACACTTCCAAGGACAGGGCAGCCACAGTTTCTCTGGGCAACTTGTTCCAGTGTTTCACCACCCTTATAATAAAAAATTCCTTATACCTAATCTAAATCTATTCTCTTTTAATTTAAAACTAATGCCCCTTGTCCTGTCACTACAGATGTCAGTAAAAAGCCTCTCTACATCTTTCCCTTTTAAGTACTGAAAGGCTGTAAGAAGGTCTCCAATGATGATCCATGAGAAAGATTTCTACGACTACCATGCACACAAAAGTGCAGAAATCTGAGAAACAGAGAATTTTTTGAATAGAATCTTGATTACTAAGTGGTTTAATAAAAATGCAGAACATGGAGAGCAAAAGCTCAGAGCTAGTGCTCTATTCGGGATTTCTGATTTGATGTTTCTAAGCACAAAATAAAAGCCTATAAATATTCCAACCTATAAGGTAGAAAGACATCATGCAATTTCTGCTACATGTAGGCAATAACCACAAAACCCAACCTGAAACAAGAAAAAAGAGTCTGACTTACTTTGGTAACACACACGGGTAGCAGGTATGTTATCATCAAATCACCTGATTAAGTGATTTCATCATTATCTTCCAAATATCAGTAGTGTCTGATTGGCAAGCTGGCGAAGATTAATTTCTTCTTTTGCTCCATCTCACTGCCATACTTGTGATAAGTAGTAACACCACTGGATGTTTTGTGTCTTTACATCTCAATGGGATGTGTAAAACTGTTGATGCACACAGTTGTTTAAAGGTTTTAGGAGAGACACAAAACAACCTTGTTCTGTGCTAAATTGATGCACAGTTCTTTCTTGTGGAAAAAAAAGAATGGACCATAATCAGGTAAAAGCCCTAGAGTCATGGATTAGAGGCACAGTCATATACTTCAAAGTGTTAATGTTCCTAAAAGCAAAGTGAAGCTGTAAAAATAGTTCGAGATTCCTGATGGTCTCAGTCTCCAGGTCAATGGAACCCACTGTGGACATTTTCTCTGGCTTTTTTTTCCTCCCTCTGCTCAGCTAGACATAAGATGTGGCTGACAGGGAGTAAATGCCCTTGTAAAAGACCTCATGTCCTTCTTCCTTTCCCTCCCCAACATGATGCTCAAGTAGATATTCAGATATTGAAGACTTCCCATGTATTAAAAGGGCACTCTGCAATTAACAATCATTAAAGTGTACCCTTTTGTAAAATATCATGTAGCTTTCACTGCCTAGGAAGCCCCATGACAGGCTCTTTATGGAAGCTTTGGCTTTATTTCCCATGGAGAATAAAACTCTTTTGTCTGCCTTCTCTTGGAATGGAAACAATACTTAGGGTAAACCCTGCATCCTCTCTGGGGTGTTTCAGCACCAACAACTTAGACGATATAAAGGCATCTGGGGCCTCTGGTCCATTATGCTTATGTTTTGACATTAAAGCTTTGACTTGCACAACCTTTCCACCGTAGCTAATTGCAAGCAAAAAGTGCCCTGAAATGTGCTGAACAGGTATCGGAATTTTCTGTTGCAGAATAAACCACCTTATCCTCAGTCCTATGTCACCTCTGGCTGCCTTCTTGGTGGAAAACAAGGACGCCAAATTCCAGTCCCTTCAGAGTTTGATTACTGAGTTCAGCATTTCAACCACGACAATGTGATATGTTGTTCATTTGCTGGATCCAGATTCACTTTAACAAAGAAAATTTGCAAACAGTTTAGCATCAGCTGACCTATTTAACCATCCAAATAAATCAAAGTTCATATTGGTGGAACCAAATATTTAGGATCATGAATATTTTCATTTTAACACATTATGTCTTTCTATATTGCATTATTCCTACTCCATAGCTACTTGTGGAGGCCATTGTCAGCATAAGCTGATGCTATTAAGCCAAATAAAGAGGAACATTCTTTCCAAGTATGTTTTGAAAAAACCCAGGCTTTTGGGTATCTTTGTATTATTGCCACTTGCTTATGAGACAGCAAAACACTAAAGTCAAAACAACTTACTCAGCAGATCAGAGAACAAAG